TAAAGTCCTATATTGAGGAACACCATCCTCATTTGCTTTTTCATGCCATTAACCTTGTCTCAGTGAAATTCTGTCTAAAAATCCACTTTCTGCTACCTAAGGAAGGTGGTTTATCTACCGTTACAAGGGTATGAATATCTCTAGCAGAACCACCAATGCATACACCCACTGTACAGGAATACCAGCATGTTCTCATGCTTCCTTGCTACATCTTTTCCACTATTTATTCCTCTCACTTACATATTATTCAAGAGATAGTCAGGACAGGGACCAAGTCTTTGCATTTGTGTTGCCTATCTAGTCACCTAGCACACTCTTAATTCTATGTAAGCAGCAAATCATAATCATAGGCTAAGTCCTAAATTCTACTGTACTAGGATTGGATACTCGATTACTCATGACTGCCTTTGTTGCTTCTATACAATGCCCCCCTGAGGAGCTGTTTTGATGCACCGAATACAAACATACCACACTTGACTCACCTTATATCCATTTGTCACCTTCTGCATAACTGTCAGGGTTTCTTTCAGGTTGGTTTCTGTATTCTGTTTGCTATTTGGCTATCCAAACAATGAGGTAACAACTTGACCTCAACAGATGCTCCAAGCTTTCTGATACTCAATATGTCTTATTAAATATTCAGATGGAAGGAAGAGGGCTTGGAAACTTTCTGCCCGCATTGTTTCAAAGATAATGCAGCACTCCTAATCTAAGTAGCAAGACGAAAATTGCACAGTATTTGCTGCTTCTCAGACTACACTCTCTAATGGCAATACACTCAAGTGCATTACTATAATATCTTGGTAAAGCTATCTAACCTTATTACAACTTTGGAATAAAGAAAACATATTTTTTACCTCTATTTTACAAAAGATTTCCTGCCCTGCAAGGCCGGAGCAACACTAAATAACACAAGTTCCATCCTGTAAAATGGGTGAATTTTAAATCTCCAGAGGTGAAATCCTGGCCCTGCTGAAGTGAATGGCAAAAACATCAGTGACTTCAGTGGCCCGACATTTCATCCCAGGACTGTATGTCTATAGGCTAAAGCTATACGCAAAACTTCTGGTTCTGGTGGTGCCATTTTTCCTTAGATTTTGGTTCAGAAAGATCTTGCACCCTCTGAATTCTATTTTGAACTATGGATTCAGACAAAACTAAACTAGTCAGAGGGGACCAGCAGGCATTGGGGGAGTCCCTGTTCCCCTGAGCACTACCAGAAATGACTAGAAATAATGGTCACAAGCTGGCAGAGGGTGAATTCAGATTAGACAGCAGGAGGCGCTACTTCACGGTCAGGACGGCTAGGATCTGGAACCAACTTCCAAGAGAAGTGGTGCTGGCTCCTACCCTGGGGGTCTTTAAGAGGAGGCTAGATATAAACCTTGCTGGGGTCGTTTGACCCCAGTACTCTTTCCTGCCATGGCAGGGGGTCGGACTCGATGATCTGCTCAGGTCCCTTCCATCCCTACAAACTATGAAACTATAAAAAAGCTCATCATGAAGTTCAGAGTCAGAATACTTTGGGGTCAAAACCAGGCAATATCACTGAGTTTCAACTGGTTATTACCTGAAACTACAAATCAGCTCAGCTCCACCATAACATCACAGAAGAGAAACAAGGAATGAGAGACCTGCGAATCTCAGCTGAGATTCCAAATACAAGAAGTCAGGAAGTACGCAAAAAAAGAAAAAAATCCAAAACAAATCTCAAAACCACAAGATTTTTTATCTATGTTTTCAAATATATGGAAACAGTCCAGTTTGCCCCACCTTCTCTTCTCCTCCCCACAACATTTTACTCACATTCTGATATGTCTTTTTTTGTTCTATTAATGAAAAGAGCATATTCCTTTTACCAACCAATGCACATTACACTGGCTTCTTACAAACATGCATGTCTGTAGAAAACAAAACCTTCTAGTGCACACATGCAACAAGCAATTTTCAAGCTGTCATAGCTTTGTTACATTTAAAGCCTTTACGGTTTGGATCATAAAGACTGATTTTCATTTTGTG